TTCCCTCCTCAGTCAGTTCATTACCAGTCCAGTGAATCCCTGAGGGACATGCGGTGGAGAGGGCTCGGGATTCGGAGTCCGGAGAGCGGTGCCTCATCCCAGCTGCATCCCCCACAGCGGTGACAACTCAGAAATGCAGTTTAACCCCAAGCTCTGTGTTGGGTGGTTGGCATGGAGATGAGTACCACTCGCTCATCAGCTGGACTGTGGGGGCTCAGTGGGAGGTCCCCGCAAGGGCTTGGGAACTCGTCAACCATCCTCCACATGTTGGGGGTGGTTCTTAAGACTGAGCCTGAAGCTCCAACCAAGCCCCACTGGCTTGGCTCTGCCCTGCTATCACCCGATGCAGCTTTTTCTGAGACATGAAGAGGCCACTTGGCAGTCAGCGTGAAGTGCACAGAGACAAGAGTGCTCAGCTTTGACTGCTCTTCTCTTTTCAGTGATCAAAGGCAGGGCCCTCCCTGCAGATTTTAACCCTCTGGAACAGTTCCACTCATCCCAGCTAGAGAGCCCATCAGAGGGCCAGGACGTGCCAACGCTTGCAGGGAGTGGGTTCCTCCCTCCCATTTAGCCCGTAGCCTCATCCAGAAGACCCACTGTTTTAGGGTACACCGGTGCTGTTGCAACCAGCAGCTGGAATTTAAGTACACTCTGCTGAAGTCAGCGAGCACCTGCTGATCCCACTTCTCCTTTAAGAAAGTTCATTTATGGCCCCAAGATGTAGCATAATGCTGTGGTGAAGAAAACAGGCTCTGGGGCCCTTGCCAGGGTTCAAACACCTTTCCTTTCAATCTCTAAGCCCCAGTTTACTTATCTGTAACACGGTATCAATGCCTCATAGGGTTGCGGGGGGAGATTAAATACAAGAGTGTGTGGAAAACTGACGTTCACTGCTAGTGTGTGTATGTGTACGCACGTGTGCATGCATGCTGGCAAGAAAATATTCATTTGCCTGCTTGTTTGTTCATTCAACCAACACCACCTACGTGCTGGCTCTGTGCTGTGCAGTGGAAACAAAAAGATGCATGAAAGCTTTGTCCTCGGAGAACCCACAAGGTTTGGGCCAAGGCAGACAAGCTGAGAAGCCACCAGGTGGTGGGGTAACAGGTGTTTTGCAGGGGCTGTGTAGATGACAGGGAAATGCAGCTAATCCAACACTGGGCACACAGGGGCTGTAGGGAGGGACTCCTTGCAAGGGGGGGGGGGGCGAGTCTAACCCAGAAGTGAACCCAGAGAGGAAGGGTGTCTCAGGCCGACAAAGGAACAAAAAGGAGAGTGCCTGATGGGTTGAAGGAACCAGACAGAGCATGATGAGGAGGGTACACAGAGTATGGCTACTGGAGCACCCTGGACCCCAACCATCAAAGCCCATCTAGGGCAGGTGACACCAGAGACAATCTCCAAATAAAGCACAAACTACGGATGTGAGATTTAACATACTAGCTGGTGATAATACTGTACATTTGTCTCTAACAGTCCCCCGAATTCCTTCCTTCCTCTGGGTCTAGACTTTTACAAACTGTTCTGCAAACTCTGAGCATCTAGGTTCCGGAGGCCACATGGGTGCTGTCCTCCCCTGCACAGCGACAGCATGGAGAGGAGAAGACACAGTGCTAGACACAGAGGAAGGATTGGGGGGGGGGGGGTGTGTCCCGAGAGATGAATCAGCAAAATGTTTTGAAGAATAAGGTTGGCGAAGAGAGGCTTTAGAGCCAGGGCACAAAGAAAAAGCTATCTGGTGGCACACAGCTAAGATGCACAAATGTGTCTTGGGTTTGCAGACTCCCACCCGGGAAGATACTGGAGTTTAACAAACCCAAGCATTTGTTTGCCTGCTGCCTGCTTTGTTAAACAGTTATGTGTCAGTCACTACAAGATGGGGACTTCTGGGCCGTGCAAGAAGTAACAGCTTCTCTACACTTAGAGAACAACCCTCTGGGCTTTCTGTCTCTCTTCTTCTTATAAGAGTTGCAAACTCAGTGATGGCCAACTTTGTTGGAAGGAGACCTTCAAACCCAGTGGCCCAGTGGGAGGGTGCTTGGGAAGTGCTTGGGAACTCGTTTTTGCGCCCTGAAAAGCAAGCCTGAAGTCCTAGATCATGAGAGCTTGGTTTTCTCATCTGTGAACAGGAATAAGTAGTAATGTTAACCAGGCAGCATATGTTAAAGCCAAGGGAACTAAGCAACACGGCCAAGGCTGCAAGCTTAGGAAGTGGCTGAGCTGGGTCGGAACCGCCCCACTGCTCTCCCAGGAGTGGGGCAGACTGTCTTGGTGCCGGGAGGTGGATGGAACAGCCGCTCTTGGCACACAACACCAGCTCTTCTCAGGGCCCTCCCCCATCTGTGGAGCATGGCAGGGGACACGGACCGATGGCCAAAGAAGAAACCCATTTGCAAACTCACATGAAACAGATGAGAAACTGCAACATATATATTTTTAGAGCAATGTGAATTCCTCCATACACAACACTGCTCAGCTTATCTGTGCCCACAAATGTACAGCACACTGCCTCGAACCCACGGGGTCCTTCAAGGCAGCAAACCGGAGAGTTTGGGAGCACCGGGTGACACTGCATGGTGCTTTTGGTGGACATGTCCACGTGGCAAAAACATGGTCTCATGTGGAAAAATGAAGGATGTAAACCACCATGCCCCCCGCCCCAATTCATGTGCTGGGCCATGTAAAATATGTTTATTAGCATAATAGCTCACGTCACTGGATTCTGGCTCCTGGGGATTCTTCTAGACACTGTGCCTTCCTTTCCTGCTGGGACATTCTTTAGGTCCATTAATAGACCTACTGCCTCTGGGAATTGCTAATTCTAATTAAAAATCATTAATTATTAGAAGTAGAGCCCATGTATCTACACAGGCCACAACTTACGATCGTTATGGCCTATAGCGAGTCGCAGACCTGTCTACCCAACTGTGTGCACTTGTCAGCTCAGCCACGGCACGTCCAGCACTCACTCTGCCATTGCTCCAGTTCTGCCTGTTGTAGGCCCCCCAACCCCCACAGCTACAACACAAGCTCCGGATATAAGCTGCCTGGGTTACCACTGTGTCCCTAGAGCCTAGCAGGATCTCAGTACATGCTGAACAAATGAGTTAACGAGCAACTGAATCCTCACCCAAGAATTCCGAAGATGTGACATCCCTCAGCCTCTGACCCAAGACGTGGGCTCCCCCCACCCCACCCCGCCAGTCTCCGATACGTCCATAACCTCCCTTCTATGTTGGGCTGCCTTTGCCGGCTTGCTGGTCTGTCCCTACACTTGGGGGTGAGTACTCTGATGGCATGATTATATCTTTTCATCTTCACATCCTCAGAGATGAAAGATAAGAGATTACTGGTGCAGCTCTTGCAATCACCCTGGGACAAAGAAAGACCCAGAAAGGCTGCCACTGCTCTGGTCTAGGGTGTCCCCCACAAGGCCCACTTGGGCCAGCCCCATTTACTCCTGCAGTTCTGGTTATTGGGGCCCTTGTGCGGCTGCCTGTGCTTTAGGAGAGCAGTAAGCATTGCCCTCTGCCTGGCTGTTTGGATGTGTGTGTGGGGGGGAGGGGGCTCTTCTATTAAGCACAAACTCCTGGGGGTCCAAGCCAAGGCAACCCCCAAGGACACAAAGTGGGTGGCCTTCTTCTACCCATGCATTCTGGAACTTGGAGAGACGATTCTAAGACCTTCCATGGACAGTTCCAAATTTCTACCTTGTTAGAAACGATCGCGGAACATGGGTTCAGACATGACCTTAGATTATTGTCTCTTCTGGAAATTCACAAAAGTTCTTCCGATCCCTCCCTGACGAACAGGCACTATCAGCAGAGAGTCTTCTGTGGGCCGTGCTTTAATTCTCACGGCCCCACTGTGACTTCGGAACACTATTACAACTGCACACTTATGGAAATGAAGCGTGGAGAAGGTAATGATCTCAGTTCTAGCGAAGAGTGGAGTGGGGACCGCAGCACAGCGGCTGTGCTGAGCTCCTCCGGAGGAAGTGCTCCTCGTCATACAAAAGCTCGGTGAAGCGACCTTCACCCAGTTTCTCAACTGGCCCATGGCAGCCTGGCACCGCTTACAGGTGCACCCAGATCCTGCCAAGAGGTGACCATCCACCTTCCTCCGCCCCAGCCTCACCGAGGAGGACGACCCCGGCCTTCCCACTGCCCACTTCAAAAACCCAGCAGGTTCTTCGGGGGACCCAAAGGAGGGGCCCTGGGACTTTAGGAGCATGGCATAGACCTTGCAGTGGGGAGGGGGCTGGGACAGACACCCAGTGGCTCGAGGCCGCACTAGCACTGTTTGCCTTGAAGACGCTTTGCCAAATGTGGAAACAACCCTGGGGGCCAGGGTGGGGGGCGTGCTTCTCATTCTCATTCCGGATCACTCCATTTTGTCAGAAAAGATGCGTTCGGTTTCTTTTAAAAACGACTTGGCCGGAGAGCTTGGCCGCCTTCTCAAGGGGGACTTTGTTATTGAGACGGAGTTCACACTTCCTTCCGGAGAAACACGTCTTGCGGAGAGAGGATGGAAGGACAGAGCGATTCAAAGGAAATGCGCTTTTGGATGTGGCTTTTGAAGAATGCCCGAATCAGGCAAAGGAAGCCCTGCTTCCCAAGTCCTTTCCTGCTACAACGCACTTGTACGTGGTGGTCGAAAAGAGTCCAAGGGCTCCATGCGATGTCTAGAACCTTCCTTCTACAGACACGTCTACTTATTATTATGCATCAGGAGCTATGGTAAGCACCAGGGTCTCTGCTGGGGAATTGGTCTGCTGCCCCTTCGCTGAGTGGTAGCTACTCTGCTTTTATTTTGAGCATCAGGTCATTTCCTTCTCAGGGCTAACATTAAGCATCGGGCCAGAGAAGGCAAACAATGCAAAACAAGTGTGGCTGTACCTCAAGCCCCCAGCACCCACCTCTGAGTGTCCCCCATTCCCCCACCGGCCTAGACGAGCCCCCCTCCGTTGCTCTGGCCGCTCACATTCGAGGCGCCTTTACCTTTCAGCTGCTGGAAGCAGGAGGCGCTGCTGTCGGGCTCCAGGGGGTGCCTCAGGACCCCGTTGCTGGGCTTGGGTCTCTCATATTCTCTTTCGGGGAGCATGGCTTGCTCGCTCTCCATGGCAGGGTCTGAGTGTGGGGGCAGAGACTGTGGAAACCCGAACATCAAGAGGGAAGAGAAGAAGAGTAAGGCACCGCAGAGCAGAAAGCCGCCCCACCAGGCTCCGATCCAGCGGGGGTCGTCCGGAGTGATGTCCAGGTTACCTGCAATGGGAAAGAGCAGTCAGGAGGAGAGGATGCAGCCGGGCCAGGATATGGCTGAGGGTCTGAGTCAGGTGCACAGACAGGGGAGGGCTCTGGACACAGCCTCAGGGTGGGGGAGAAGCAGGGGAGGGAGGAGGGGGGCTGGACGCTTCAAAAGGCAGCCTTTTGTTCACATCAGTGCTCCTGTTTCTCCCGAAGCCGAAGGCTGATTGCTTTCCCTCCTTAATTTTCTTGTCTACCCTGTGTTTGTATCAGTCTAAACAAAAACAGCGAGAAGCCAGACACCCTCGGAATTAAGGCTGGAACCGATGGGCTCGGTAGAGCTTACTGGGTGCGCTGATGAACCACAAGGTCTATTTTTTACTGTGGGGTTACTCACTTGCACTCCTCAAAAAGCAGCTACTTGGAGATCCCATTCAATACCCCACTCCCGGGCTCCAATCAGGTTCACAGATCGTAAGGGACGGCACAGAATGAAGTCAAGAGCCAGGATACCTGGAGTGAAATCCTGCCACTTCTCACTGTGGGACCCCAGTCTAGTAATCTGAACTCTCTGTGCCTCATTGACTGACCTGTAGGACCGTGAGGATGGTGACAGTACCTTCGGGAGTTTGGGGGGAGGATCAAATGAGCCACACCAGATATAACGTGCTCAGAATAGTCCCTGGCATATGCTGGAGCATTTAAACACTGTTAGCTTCATATTTACGGCTAGGATCCTGTTTCCAAACTGCTAGTGGGTAGGTTAATTCAAATCTTGGTGGTGGCCTGTGGTTTGGGGCAGTCCTTTATTAGAAAGCTTTGCAGCCAACTTAATGCTTAAAGGCAGCGTGCATGTGGTTTGGCTGTCTTGTGCTATTATTTCTTTGATTTGCCAGCTGAAGTCATGAAGACATAAACTACAGCCTACCCCTTGGTAGATTTTTTTTTTTTTTTTAATCTTTTTCTACAACTGCCCTTCATAGAGCACTCTCAGATTAGCTGCTTAGAAATGTCTCCTTGATGATAATCCTGTACCTCTGGACCACAGAAGGACATTCTTGGACATGGGGGCAGGGCATATAAGCTAAGAACTAACAGGACTACAGCCCCGGACCAGATGGATGGATAGGCTTGGGAAAAGAAATGACCACAGGCACCAGACCAGCACTTCACCATTTGTAAAATGTTCTCCCTGAAGACTCTTCAGCTACCACTAATAAAGAGCCCAGCCATCATTCACTGAGGGCTTACTCTGCACTGGGCATTATGCAGAGTATATTCTTAACTGTTCTGGTCAGCCCTCCCCACAATCCTACAAGGTAGAGTCTTTTATTATCCCAATCTTATATAGATAGAAAAATCAAGGCTTAGGAAATATAGCTACTGGGGCGCCTGGGTGGCTCAGTCGGTTAGGCATCTGCCTTCGGCCCAGGTCATGATCCCAGGGTCCTGGGATCGAGTCCTGTGTTGGGCTCCTTGCTCAGCAGGGAGCCTGCTTCTCCCTCTGCCTTTGCCACTTCCCCTGCTCATTCTCTCTCTCCCCCTCAAATAAATAAAATCTTTGAAAAAAAAGGAAAGTGTAGATACCTTGCCCAAGTTCACAGAGTTGAAGACTGGAAGACGGGCATTCAGATGCCAAGGGCCAGGCTCCTTATCACTTTGCTACACTGCCCTTCTGGACCGTCTAGGCTTTGTTCTGGGCTCCCTGGGTGGATGATTAACTCCTGTGCTTTGTGCAATGGGCCTAAGATCACCAACTTTGCCGCTGGTCTTTGGAACATCGGTGGTCTCTCTCCTGGAGGCATTGATATCCACCCAACAGCAATATCTAGGGCACTACAATGAACCAGATGCTTCTGCACAGCTGCACGTCAGAGAAGAAAAGAGTATAAGCTTTGGCAGGCAGAGGGTTGAATCCTGGCTCTGCTGCTTAGTAGCATGTGGTGCTAGGCAAGCTACTTACCCTCTCTGAGCCTTACTTTGATCACTTGCAAAATAAAGGTGACATCCACTGAGACTGCATGCAAGGATGAGAGGTAACGAGCAAGCATCACTTGACACATAGGCTCTTTGTACATGATAGCTCTTCTATCTACTCGTAGGTATATATTTACATGAATGCAGATTTCAAGATATACTTTTTTTTTTTTTTTTTTTGAGTATGGGAAAGCTTGAAAAAAGCATGAGCAAACCCAAGGTGATCTTGAAAGCATCTTTATGCAAACACGAGAAGAGAAAAGGAAGTCAGATGGCCTCGGGTAGCAGAGCAGGAATGTTTTCTCCAGTTACTATGTTTCTTCACCTGCTGCCAAGCAATGAATGAAAACAAAAGACATAAACGGGAGCTGTGGTATCTCCATTGTCGATGGGCTGCATAAAGGGGGAACTGAAAGCTGGCAGATGTGAGCCTGTAGAAAGAGAGAGAAATCCTGGCAGTTGTTTGGGGAAACAAAATTAGTAGCACGTAGAGAGTCATATTTTAGTTAGGAGGTTAGTGACTCTCTTCTACGTGTGAGGAAACATCCCAGGGAGAGGGGTTGCAGCGGGGAGATGGATGTTTATGTGAACGTGTCAACTCGCTCCCCATAGGTACGTGCCTGCATGTGGAAAGCCAACGTTGGCTCGTAATTTGTAAGACAGGGAAGAACACATGACCTGCGTCAGACCAAAGCCTGCCTGTGGTGCAAGCAAGGAGAGGGAGAGGGATCTGCAGCAAGGTGTGGTGGGGGCAGGGGGAGGGGAGACAGGATTTTAGAGATCCAGGAAAATCACATTTGACCATTTTGGAAGTATCGATTTTTTTTTTTCCTCCTCTCCATTGCAACCATCCAGAGCACTGTGGCAGGGAGAGACATAATGTTCTGAGGAGAAACCACTCAGCTTTGGAGCATGCTGCCTTCAGGTCAGGGTTGGCTTGGGGGTGGAGTTTTAGTCCTGATTTTGGCACTTTTCAAGAAGATGGCTAATTCTTGAACCCAGGCTGAGAAGTTTTCTTTTCTAAGGCACCTTAGTGATGGTGAAAATCCCTCCCCACCTGCCTGGCAATCATCACTGTCAGCAGGTATGTTCTAGTTCTAGGGATGTTGAGGGAAAGTTCTCTATGTTGGCCAGCAAAGAATGGTGCGGTAGAGGTTACTGATGTCTTCATTTGGATCTCCTCTTCGGAGAACAAGGATTCCCCCTCCCTCACCATGAACTTAGGTATAGCCACACGCCACAGAACTCTGCCACTGAAGTGTGAGTGGTCAGATATGTGTCACTTCTGTGTAGAGCCACGTATGAGCTGGTGCCTGACTCGTCATGCTCTTTTGCCCTGGCTGATCACAGAAGCACATGAAATCCTCCTAAGATGGTCCCTGAGAGACTACGATGAACAAAATGTCACTGCTGGCCTGCGCTGTGTGTATAAGCAAGGAACAAACCTTTGGTTATTATTCTCAGCAACTAAGATTTTGGAGGTATTTGCTACTGCAGCAGAACTGAGCCTACCCTGACTACTACCAAAGGCTTGGGAAATAAAAAGTCATGCTCTTCAAGAACAGCGTTCCTGGGCAGGCTTGGAATCGTGAAAGCGTTTTTCAGGTACAGGTGGGGAACGGGGTGAAAACCTCGTTACTTTTCTTTTGACATGGCTCTAGGTAGTATCTTGATCTTAAAAAATTACTGCAGTTTCAGCTTTCTCGTGAAGACTGTGGTCAGTGAGATGCCCAGAACAAAACTGAGAAGTACCCGCGTGTCTCATTTACTTAGATGTACCTGTCAATCAAACCGCAACCATGAAGGACAAAAACACATTGAGAAGAACAGGGTGGGGACAGGATCCCAGGCTGAGGGAGCAACACTCACAAAGTCATGGCACCCCTCAGTCAGGGGACTCTGCTGGGCTGGCTAACACCAACCAGGCACTCATCAGCCCCATCATTCCAGGTGTGGAGGAAGTAGAGCTAAGCATCACCATGATGGAGATGTCTGGCTGCCATAAGACGGGCACAGTCCACCCTGCCTTTGCAGAGCTGTCTGTATAGGCTTGAAGGATTTCTGCTTTACAAGATCCATTTTTCTAACCCTGCCATGTCTCGGAATCCAACATTCGGAGTGTTTTTGTGGTTTTGTTGGGTAAGCTGAGCAAGCTTTTGGCAATGTTTGCTTCTTCTGTTTAAGGTCATGTAAACACAGGGGGTTGAGATTTTTCTCCCATTTCTGAGGACTGCTACCATCATAGGTAGGAAAGAAAAAAATGATTGGGAACAGAGCCAAACCAGTTTAAAACTAACCGAACCAACCCAGCCAGGAGGGTATCCAGGACTGCAAGAAGGGGCCAATCAAAGCAAATTGGGGACATTTACTTGTGACTCCCAGGCCACACTAATGTGTAAGTGGTACCATGGGCTCTCTGGGCTTTTTTTTTTTTTTTTTTCAGTCCATTTACCTATCTAACTTATTTTGTGAAACTTTTGCTGTGGGACTCAAGCATTCCAAGAGTATCATTAAGTTACAGACCAAATTAGAAACTGGAGACAGGGAAGGGCTAAGGGTAGAGGGCAGCATGGAACGTTCAGGATCCTGGCCATGGAGCTAATTTAGTCTAACATAAAGGACTCTGACGAAGCCCGCGGCTAGCCCTAGGGCAGGAAGCTCTCGGCTGGCTGACCTTTTTCAGGAAGCAAACATACGGACCCATCTTATTCCAGGGGCAAACACCACGCAGCTCTAGTGGGGTCAGTTGTGCATGCCTGAGGATGAGTCTGTATGGATGGGCTGATGAGGTTAGGTCATCTCAGCAAGGCCTTTGTCCACGGAAGGGGGCAGCCTTCTGGAAAAAGTCCTGGAAAAATTCCAGGGACACAAGCTGCCCGGTTTGGAGTCAGACGGAGGCTTGGGCTTTGAATCCTACTGGCTGTGGAAAGGAGTTAACCTGTCGCAGACCATGTGCCTACTACACACCAGGCGCCGTGCTATGCACTTGGCATGATTAACTCATGTCATCCACGCACAGACCCTGTGGAGAAAGGCCCCCAGGATCACAAAGCTTGGAAGGGGTACTGATTCCAGCACCAGAACTCTGAACTCGTAATCGCTGCATGAGAACAGCTCAGCTGGTAAATGGGAGGACAGAAGGACCCAACCTCCAAGGGGAATGTCCTGAAGTTCAGATGAGACCATCTACATACAGCTTTAATAAGCGGTCAGTTATCAATCTTCTTCTTCTGATAAACCCACTGTTAAGATTGGTCGATTCAGTGCTTTGGGGCACACTCCTGCTACCAAGTCCTCCTTTCTTATAGGTTCTGTTCTCAGCTGGTTTCAGTCTTACGAAGATATTCTCCGAAAGCGCTTCTGGCTGCACCATCACTCCTTCCCCGGGCTGTTACAAGAGGCATCTCCCCTTAAGAAGAGGGGCCAAGGGAGCCTCACAGGGATCAAACACAGATGAAGAGAGAGTAGCCGTGGCAGAATTCCAGTGTCTAAACAAGGCCAGCAGAGTCCTTCTGGGGAGCTGCCCGCGGGGTCTGTCCGCCCTACAGCTGGCCTGTTCCTACAACCGACCGCCTTCCCCCCACACAGACTGCAACCAGCCTTCCTCACTGGTCTCCCCACTTCAATCCTGTGTCCTCAGCTGTGGCCAGGCTGCACAGCGCAGGGCACATTCCCTCCTCCATCTGCCCCATGACAAGGGCTCTGCCTTTCCCGCCTCACCTCAGGTTCCAGATCACGGCTCTCCCCAGTCCCCTACCCAGCTCTCCGCTGTGTGCCCGGCCCTTTCCATTCAGGATTCAGGACATGCTCTCCTAGGTCAGACAACCCTAAGGAGGGGCTCTATCTACACCGGTGAAGAAAAAATACAGGAGGGTCACCCCTAAAGAATTCTTCTCAAAATACAGCCCGAATCCATTCCAGACAGAACAAGTTTTAGTCACAAGATGAGAAATCATCAAAATTGCTGGCAGCTATTGAATTCTGTGTCTTGCTCTCTGATAGAATAAATTACATTCTTCTGCCCTCTACCGGTAAAGAACAGCACCAGCCCTCCCTGGGCCTTCAGCAAGGAAGCAAACAAAAAGACGGTGACTCACAAGGCATCCTTCCCTTTCTTAGAGACACACTGGATGGGACTTCTGATATTCGCTTGTGTGTGTGTGTGTGTGTGTGTGTGTGTGTACGGGGGGATGCCATAAGATGCCCAGCTGAACCAGGAATGTGCCCACCTGCCTTCTGCTTCAAAACTGCCAGGGAGCCTAGAACCACAGGTGATGTTGCTTCACAAGGCGCCCCGACGGGTGAAGAAAGATGCAGACCAGACAGGACCACAGGCAGGACTCCAGGCTGAGGGAATAGCCCGAGGCAAAGGAACAGCACACCGATGGGGGACCACGAATGAACTGGCTAAGCCCCTCGAGCCCCTTGTCCACCAGGCACAGAGAAAAGATACTATTTAATTCCCAGGAGGTTGCATGGTGGAGGGAACTGTGAAGTGGAAATGCCCACATGCTTGCTCAGGAGACCTGGGTTTTATACAGATATGCCCCTTGGACTGGGTACATCCCTGTCCCTCTCTAGGCCTGTTTCCTCGTCTGTACAATGGAAGGGTTGGAAGAGAATGAGCTGAGGTTCTTGGCTCAGAGATTCTGGTAACACACAGGCCTTGATCCAAGGGGGCCACTGCTGAAAACAGTGAGGGGCAGGATATATACTGCCTGGCCACCTGGCCTCTCCTTCCAAGCAGCCTTCCCCATTGCACGGGGGGCGCACCCCCTTCCCTTACCTGCTTTTGTGATTCCTGTCTCGTGCTGCCTTTGGCACAGTGGCGGAAGCTGGCTTGTTTTTGTCCATACAAGCAAGATGGCAGCCGACTCCCACCACGTGATATTTCTCTGACCAGGCCACCCCTCGTCCAGCTCATTAGGAGTAGGGTACAAAGGGTCACCAACTGCCACAAGACAGCAGCATCCAATCATCTCCTGAACAGAGCCAGCACTTTAAAAGAATAAGTAAACAAGGCTGCATTTGATTCTTTTTTCCCCCCCGCCCACCGCCACTTGCAGATTTGTAACATCATTAGCTACAAGTAAATATATCAGTGGGATTAATGGAGTGAATCACAGAGTGGCTTGATTGGATTTAAAACCACATTATTTCTTTGGGGTGAATTAGTAAATTTAAGCACTGTCAAGAGATGATGGATTGAGAAGCCAGGGACTGAGCTCTTATTGATCCTGAGAAAAGACTGGTATGAGGAGAAGCTGGGATGGCTTCCCGCACTCCGTTCTCAGCGAGGAAGGAAACACGGCTTCTATGCTCACTGAACTGCACATAGAAACAGAGCATTCTGTTTGGGGCTCACAGCTGACCTGTGACCACATACCGGGGGCAGTGTCTCAGATGGTCTCCAGGAATCCCACGCCCTGGTATTCACGCCCTGAGTGCGGACCGGAACAGGTGGCTTGCTTTCGACACCCAGGATGCAGCGGAAGAGCAATGGTATGTCCCTTCCGAGCCAAGGTTATCAACAGACCACGGCTCTTGTCTCGGGTGCTCTCTCTCACCCTCTCTTGGGTGGTTCGCTCCAGGGAAGCCCTGGTGAGGGAGCCTGGTCGAGAGGCCCAGGGATATGAGACTGAAAGCGGATCCTCCAAGGCCTGCTGACAGCCTTGGGAGTGAACCTAGAGTCGAATCTCCTGCGGTTGAGCTTTGAGATGAGTGGACACCATGTCAGCACCCTGACTACAACCTCATGAGGGACCCCGAATCGGAACCACCCAGCCAAGCTCCTCCTGGGCTCCAAACCCACAGAAATAACCTGTGATATAAGAAACAACACCCCAGTGTTGTTTTCAGTCACTAAATGTGGGGTAATTTGTTGCACAGCAAGAGAAGTCTGAGAGACCACACGACTTTTGCTTTGGCCACGGAAACGTGAGGAGAAGCTTCGAGAGCCAGCGTGCAACTTGCTACGGACTGGTCTCCTGCCTTGGCAACTGCGCAGGCCGGGGTCAGAGGAAGCTTCTGTGACCTGCGTCCTGGAGTGACCGTGAGGAGCCAAGCCTCACCCTCCCTAACACTGCCATCCTGCACTGGATACGCAGCACGCCCAGGAAGGAAACTTTGGTTGTATAAAATCACTAAAGATTTGGGAACTGTGTGTGACGATGGCACAACCTAGCCTATATTAACCAGGCCACTGGTGGATCAAAGCGTGCCTAGGGTCTGGGGGGCCCAGAGTCATTGGAGAAATACACTTGCTCTTCCTGCTAGGAACCAAGAAGTGTTGCTTGAAGTGGTATGGTACGTTTCTTCATAGAGGCCTCCACAACACTGCCTTGTAGGAGGGGGTTTCAAATACTCTGTCTCATCGACCCCATTTGTACATCTGCGTTTCCAGAACACACTTAGAAAGTGGGGTTCTCACATAGGTTAATGGACTAACATTCAATGAGAAAATGCCAGGCACTCTACATCTACCCTCTCATTTAATTCTTATAGTAGCCCCACGAAGCAGATAGAATTATTGTCACCCTTAATTTACAGATGAGAAAGATCCAGATTTGAGGAGTAAAATCAACTACAGGGATTATTCAGCCTCCGGGTAAGCACTGGTGGAACACCACTGGATCCCAGGCCATCTGAGCCAACACTCATGCTCTTTCCTTTGATCTCTGGTGGGCCAGCAGCTTGAGGTCCACGCACTGAGGCTGCGCCTCAGTAGGAGGGTTTTAGAACCCAAAGGCTGAAGGGCTCCCTTATGATGGAGGACACGCTCGGGGATGGCGGTCAGAAGTTGAGATATACTCCTTACTTGTGTCAATGAAGACAGCATCCACGTAGATTTTGGTACAGAAAGAGCCTAGGATAAATCCACAGGCTGGTCCAAATACCAGCATCGTGAAAAGGATTCCTGAAAGAAGAAGATAAAACAGAGATTAGATTAAAAAAAAAAAAAGAAAAGCAGAAGCCATTCAATGAGCAAAAGAGTCAAAGATCCCTGGTTTATACAAATGACATTAGAGGAACTAGTCAAAAAATCCTAGAGGGGGAAAGCTAGTACTGAAGCACTGTTATGCAGAAATTCTATAGTTTTTTGGAGGTTGCTCTGAAATATTTGTGGGCCCTGAGTGCACTTCCTTTTAGAGTACTCCATCCCACACCATATCTACCATATTAAAACACACCCACGTCTGTCATTAAATGGTTTCTATCATAAACATTTTTGAAACGATTTTTATAATTTTTCTTTCACATCTGGCTTTATGTAATTCATTTAATTTATGGTTGGCTAAGATTTCTCAGCACTCGTTGTACAAATTCAGGAATTGTTGTGAAGGGAAAAAAGTCAAAGCCACAAATTATTTTCAAATGTAATGAAATGTTTACGAGCATTAAATTTAGCAAAAAACGGAGTTGACATAATGGTATGCTTTGAGAACATTTAATTAGTAGATGTTTTATTAATTTGAATTTTGCAGATCTCCCCCCCCCTTTTTTTTTGGAGTTGCTATCTATTGTTTTAATAGTTGTTCAAGACTCAACCTTTTCCACAGGACTTGAGAAGATGGTACTAGGCATGAACTTAAGCATCTGATGGATATAGTACCTGGGACTTTGCACAAACCCTTTTATTCATTCTGGGAAAAGTATCAAGCCCAAACTGAAACCCACAGGCTATATCTATTTAACTAAATTTCAGTGTGGTAGAATGTTCCCTGAGCAAGGACAGTTCTCAAGGCCCTGGGAATAAAAACAGGAGTGAAGAAGTGGCCCTTCCTACAAGAGGCTGGCTACCTGTGGGGACAAGCGGTATATGGGTTGATCCAACCCAAGCAGATAGCCCAAAAGAGGGGCGCTAACGGATCCATGAGGGCACATGAAGAGCAAGGCTGGGGATGAATTCAAACAAAGGGAATTTGAGCTCGGCGGAGGGTACTTCTGGTCTGTCTGTCACAGGTGTAGACTAACTCATTCTGATTTCCCTCGATGATGTCATCATGGAACCACTCAAATATTCATTCAGTCAATCAATATTTATTGAGCTCCTTCTATGTGCCAAGCAGTAGTCTCAGGAATGGAGATTCAGCATTGAGCCAAATAATTAAGAATCCTGGCCTTCCAGAGCTCACTGACTTGGAGGTCGGGAGAAAACACAAACTATGAACAGGAACTCAACTGGTTTATAAATACTCGGCAAAGGCGGCCATATCTTCCAGATTTAGAGACAGAAACCCAGACCCAAAGCAAGCATTGAGGACGGTTTATAAGGAATGTTGTTTGATAAAGGGAGGAATGAAAGGAGGATGGTTTATATCATGGAAATGGGGCCGACTCCACTCTCAGTGAAATCCTACTCTTGATTTGGAGCAATCTAGAAGTTCTTGAGTCTCAAAGTACCTGCTCCCATAGCTGGCCAGAGACCCCCAATCTCACAGTTATTCTTGTTTCTAAGAATCTTGAGCAGAGCAATATCCATTTTATGAATACACGGACTCCAGTTTGTCACAACTTAGATTAAGGTAACCAAACAGAGGAAGTTGAGTAAGTTGGGGGTATTGGAAAATTCTAGAATATGGGGATCTTGCAGATATGGGCTAGAGTTAGGGGGGCTGTCCTTAGCACGGCAGGGTGAGGGACCAGAGCTACTCTTGGCCCCATTCCCTGGGCGGAAAGCGAAGCAGAAAGAGATGCCGAGGAAGAGCCAGGGGGCAGGGGTGGGGGCATGGACAAGCGGTGTCCAAGGCAAGAGCACTGCCCAACATAGCCTAGAGGGATTTCTGCTTCAGGGCAAAACTGTGAAGCCAGCCATGTCCTCCTGTCCAGGCTGCAGGCTGAGGTGAGCCCCTGGTCAACCACAGGTACTCTAAAGATGGCTGAGCAAGCAACGTATCTGCTCAGGCGGTACCAGATGACAGGACAGACGGTACAGGACCACAATTCTCCCGCCACCGGTGCTGCAACTACCCTGCTGACTCCTTGTTGATATTCAGCAGCCGCTCTAACCAGCCCCCCCATACCCCGCCCGGAACCCACACCACTCATGATAATATGCCTTCTTTCATGCCAATTAGATAAAACCCCCAATCAGCATAATCATCACTGATGCATGGCCTGCAGATTACGTAATGCAAATTATACCTAATACTTAATAGGTCAAAGGACGAAGCTGTTAGTGTCCTTGGAAGAGACAACTGATGCGCTTGCTGAAGAGGTTGTGGAGATCGTCCTGTTACTTCCTCCCCAACCCGGGGGCAGCAGACAGTGTGTGGACAGGCTAGACATCCTGGAACAGCTGGGGACCCCAGGTCCTGGGCCTCCTGCCCTTGTACAAGTTGTCACATGGAAGAAGGCGCGTCCCTCAAGCTCGGCTTGCGGGGTCCCCACAGGGCCCCCACAGGCCAGCCGTCCAATCTGGCAGGTCAGGCAGGCACAGGCCCTCCGCGGAGACGCCACGCACCAACGTGGCCTCCCCATCGGCCGAGAACACCTCCCACTCCGGTTCCTCGAGGAGAAGACAAGGGTTTCCCAGCCACTGGATGGTGGCTTTCCATTTTAACAAGATGGAGTTCTCCCCCAGGAGCAGAGAAACCTGATAGGGCCCAATTCCAAAAACCAATGAAAGATATGGAACACATGTATCTTTGTATGAAGGGCATTTCCCCCCCCCTCAGCTGAAATCTCTGGTGGCATTTTATTTTTTTTCTTTTATTTGAGAGAGGGGCAGAGGTAGAGAATCTCAAGCAGACTCACGGCTGAGCACAGAGCCTGATGCAGGGCTCAATCTCATGACCCATGAGATCACGACCTGAGCTGAAACCGAGAGTCGGATGCTCAACCACTTGAGCCACCCAGGGGCCCCTCTGGGGGCATTTTCCAAGCAGCTCCTCCTCAGAGTGATGTTAAAGAAACCTCTAGCAATAACAAGTTCTCGAATCTTTTCCAAGGAACAATCCAGTAGAGATGTGGGAAGGGGGTCTTCACGCATCAAGAAACACCCTTTTTCCACCTCAGCAGTATCTTAGGATAACAACTCGAATAAAGCAGCATGCAGAGCATAACCCAGGGTTTTTAGGGGAAGTTGTTTTCCTGCGAGGGTATGAGGCAGGCCACGGTCTTACAGAAACATACTTTTGAATGCACTTCCTTGCTCTCCTTTCGATTCATCCTCCTAGGCTGTGAATTTATTCTTGTTTAATGAAACCACCCCACATGTTCTGCCCAAACAGACAGGAAAAAGATTGGCCAGCACTAAAATCTGCAATCTGGGTGTTGGACAGTGGAGTGCCTCCAGGACAGGAGAGGATGTGCTTTGTGGTTCCGTGCTGCCCCCTGCTGCCTGCCAGATTCACGAACATGGGAGGGGGGGGCGAGGTGGCTGAGGAGAAGTTGAGACACAGGAAACAGTCAATACTAAAAATTATTTTTTTAATTCATGTGCATTATTTTATCAGACATTTATTACGTAGTTTGAACCTAACTGCTTGATAAACAAAACTGCTATATATTTCTTTTAGACTCAGGGCTCTGTGAAAAATATAATTAAGATACGAAGGGCATGGGGAGCCTGCGTGGCTCAGTGGGTTGAGTGTCTGACTCTTGAGTTCGGCTCAGGTCGTGATCTCGGGGTCCTGGGATCAAGCCTCACGTCCGGCTCCCTGCTCAGCTGGGAGCCTGCTTCTCCCTCTGCCCCTCCCCCAACTCATTCTCTGTCTCTCTTGATAATAATAAAATAATAAATTTAAAAAAAGAAAGAAAGCAGCAGCAACTTGCTGCCCGACTGGAGAGACTTTCAACCATTCTTAGTCACTCAAAATACATAATGGCAACTACTAGGGGGCAGGCACTGTGCAAGCCGCTGAGACACAGCAGTGAACAAAACAGACAAAATCCCTGCTTTTCTGTGGAGTTTGTGTTACGGAAGAAGGGCCATAAACAAACCAACCTACCATGCCGTAGTCAGGAGTACTGCCAAAGAGGAGAGTGCGCAATGGCGCAGGGCTACAGAGACCTCACGTGACACCGAGTCCTCGATGGAATGCCCCGCACCGGGTCAGCTGGGCTACTGAGCTGGGGCCGCTGCGTGGGAGGCAGACTAATGGCCCCCAAAGATGTGCCTGTCCTAATCCCTAGAACCTGCGCCTGAAGCTTAAATGACAAAAGAGAATTAAAGCTAATATGGAATTAGGGTGGCTGATCAGTTGACTTAAAGAGATTATACTGATTATCCCCAAGGACCCAATCAACAAGATTCCTGTAAATGTGGAAGGAGAAATAATAAGAGTCAGAGTCAGAGAAGGAGGCAAGATGACTCGACCAGAGACCTGGCCTCCTGAGAAGGAGGCAACCCGCCACTGCTGGCTTTGACGATGGAGGATGAGGTCATGAGCCCAGGAACGAGGACCACCTCTTGAAGGTGGAAAAGGCAAGAAAATGGATTCCCCCTTCCAGAGAGGATCCTCCAGAGGACAACAGCCCTGCTGACACCTTGATTTGAGCTCAGTGAAACCCCCCTTCCAGAGAGGATCCTCCAGAGGACAACAGCCCTGCTGACACCTTGATTTGAGCTCAGTGAAACCCACTGTGGGCTTCTGACCTCTAGAACCATAAGATCATAAACTTGTGTTATTTTAGGCCACTAAGTTTGTGGCAACTCATTATGGCAGCAATAGGAAATTAATGTAATTGCTAATCAAATTTGAGTCAATTCTCAGATCTCCCAACCATGAATATCCATGTGACTAAGAACAGGACATTGCATGAAGTCGTTTGTTAATGACTTGACCACGGAGCACTTTTTGTGGGACATTTTTCAGTGCTGGTGTTGACTGGGGCACAGTCACAGAGAAGCTGGAGGAGAGTCCAAGCTCTATGAGACAGAGAAGGTGTTTGATTCTTCTTTCCATTCCTAGT